TGGGTCACATCCTGAGCTCAGTGGTCCGGCTGGAAAACACACACTAAGTTAAAAGTGACCTATCTAAATAAAATAGGTCTCCTTATAAAATCCTAAGGTAAATTTCTATCATTTTGTCTTAACTTGGCATCTATTTTTTATGAATTAACACAGGTGGCATGTATTTTTAATCTCCCTCTAACACACCTACATTTTTTGAGAAAGCTGAAATTCTCCCTCAATGCCTTGAGATTTAAATTTGTTACCCATTTTTTTCTTTAAACTTGGTAAGAACTTCTCCAAAGGTGCCATTTTAATCCAATTGCCCTTTTTAAATTAGTGAGTTTTACCAGTCCCATGGCTAAAGCTGTAAAATCTAAACTCTGAAGTCTTTGTGTATATATATATTTTGAGATGGAGTCTCGCTCTGTCACCCAGGCTGGCATATCTAACGAACTTCATGCCCTTCTCCATGAGACACAATGGCATAAAAAGGAACCTTCCTAGTAATGTAGGACCAGATGAAACATGAGCCAAAAACTCATGTTTACTATCTTTTTTTTTTTGAGATGGAGTCTCTCTCTGTTACCCAGGATGGGGTGTAGTGGTGCCATGTTGGCTCACTGCAACCTCCGCCTCCCAGGTTCAAGCAATTCTCTGCCTCAGCCTCCCGAGTAGCTGGGATTATAGGTGCCTGACACCATGCTTGGCTAATTTTTGTATTTCTAGTAGAGATGGGTTTTCACCATCTTGGCAAAGCTGGTTTGAACTCCAGACCTTGTGATCCACCCACCTCGGCCTCCCAAAGTGCTGGGATTACAGGCGTGAGCCACCGTGCCTGACAAAACTCATGTTTTCTACAATGCTTTCTGTGAAAGATTTTGGGGAGTACTTTTGACCAGGCACGGTGGCTCATACCTGTAATCCTAGAACTTTGGAATGTCAAGAAGGGTTGACTATTTGAGCTCAGGAGTTCAAGACCAGCCTGGGCAACATGGTGAGCCCCAGTCTCCAAAAAAAATACAAAAAAAATGTAGCCAGATGTGGTGGCATGTGCCTGTAGTACCAACTACTTGGGAGGTGGAGGTGGGAGGATCGCTTGAGCCTTGGAAGTGGAGTTTACAGTGAGCTGATATTGTGCCACTGCGCTCCAGCTGCCTGGGTGACAGAGCAGGACTCCATCTCAAAAAAAAAGGGGGGCTAAATGTAAAGGGGAAAAAAATTTCAGAACTCCCAAACTCTTTATGCTAGAGGGAAGATCAACCTGGAGACTGAATCATGCAACACCATTATCATTTTCTAAAATGAATAGCTGTTACCACACAACCTTGTGTCATAGCATCGTACCTTAGCCAGACCCCCGTGGGAAAGTGAAAAGGTCTCAGGCATGTCTGGATGACTTTGAAGATGTATATTCTCCCATAAAACCAGGACCTGTTGATTGTGACTTTAGTTTTGCAATCTTAGTACCGAAGACTAAAGCCTGCTATATTTAGACTGATAATGCTTATCTTCAGAAAAAGGCAAGATTTATTTTTTTATTGCCTACATCACTCCTTATCTGCCTTCCCTGCTTTAAGGAAATGTATAAATACTTGGTCTCAACAGGGTGCAGTGGCTCACGCCTGTAATCCCAGCATTTAGGAGGCCTAGGTGGGTGGATCACTTGAGGTGAGGAGTTTGAGACCAGCCTGGCAAACATGGTGAGACCTTGTCTCTACTAAAAATACAAAAATTAGCTGGATGTGGTGGCATGTGCCTGTAACCCCAGCTACTCGGGAGGCTGAGGCAGGAGAATTGATTGAACCTGGGAGTTGGAGGTTGCAGTGAGCCAAGATTGGGCCACTGCACTCCACCTGGGCGACAGAGCTAGACTTAATCTCAAAAAAAAAAAAAAAAAAAAGGAAAGAAGAAAGAAAGAAAGAGAAACAAAACCCCAAAAACAAATAAACAAAAAACCCCAAATACCTGGCCTCCTGAAAACCTCTTCAGTGAGAACGCAAGCCACAGAGGTTTTCTAGGACTCATGTTTACCCAGGGCGCGCCCTCAAGCGCAGGCTTAATAAATCTCAATGGATTCAGACCCTTGCCTCAGTCACTCATTATGAATAACCACCATGGGCCCTGCACAGGTCTTCAGTAATCCACTCCCTGCCCAGGTGTTGTGTACCCAGGTGAGTCAGGTCCCCATGAGTCCAACACTCCTCTCCCGCTTCAGCTCCTCCACCCCACCACTCAGTGCTGTGTGCTGTGGTCTGGCCCCAGCTTCCAGGCCATTAGTATTAGCCTAAGAAAGCAAGGCCAGGAGGAACAGGCTGAGAAGGAAGTTGGAGGCCACCAGGCAAGGAAAGAGGCAGGTGGGGCTGTCATTGCTCAAAGGCCATAAACTCTGGGTGTGTTTTATGACTGCTTCTGGGTTTGGAATCTTCTCCCCTTTGTGACGATTCCAGGGACTCACCCTCCTCCTGCTTCCTTCTCATACACTTTCTGTCTCTAGTGTACCTCATTCGTGACCAGGAAATGGCTGTGCAAATAGTTGACAATCGACTAAAATGACCTTTTATGTGACTGGGAACCTGGCCCTGTTTTCTTCCAAAAGAGACTGAAGTTCGTAAAAGCCAGCTTTTACCCAGGGCTGTGCAGTTGTGAGTGTGGAGTTAGGGAGCAGGTGCGTAAGTGAAGGGTGAGACAGAAAACAAAATGCTGGCTATTTGTCAAATCCTGAGAGTAGAGAGCACAAAAATCATTCTGGAAGGTGGATGTCAATCAGGAGACCTTGGACATCTTAAGGTGCCCTCTGACCAGATGAGTGGGGGAGGAGGTTAAATTATGGAGTTGGGTGACAGTGGGTCCACTACTTCACTTCTGTGTCTCAGTTTTTTTTTTTTTGAGATGGAGTGTTGCTCTGTCTCCCAGGCTGGAATGCAGTGGTGCAATATCGGCTCACTGCAACCTCTACCTCCTGGGTTCCAGCAATTCTCTGCCTCAGCCTCCTGCCTGGCTAATTTTTTTGTATTTTTAGTAGAAATGGGGTTTCACCATGTTAGTCAAGATGATCTTGATTTCTCGACCTTGTGATGCGCCCGCCTCACCTCCTGAAGTGCTGGGATTATAGCCATGAGCCACTGTGCCCAGCCCACTCAGGATTTTTTTGTGAGGACTGGAGATACCTGGAAACCTCTTAGGATGGTGCCTGGTGGGTAGTGAGTGCTGCATCAGTGTGAGCTATTATAATTACGGAAACAGGCCATCGTAGCCATCCAGGTGGGAGGTATTTTCCAGCCAGAGTCCTGGCAGGCCAGCTGGAGATGAAGACGGTTAAGGAGGAAGTTTAACTTCCAGGAGTGGAAGGACTGGGGAGGAGTAACTCATGCACAACATTCTGTGAAAATATATTTATCCAACAGCAGGAATACCCAGAGTCAATGTGGCTTCTGTGGCAATCACTGTCTCCTGGTGGGGGCGGGGAGCGTCTAAGACTGTTGTAGGCTCAAATAATTTTTCTTTCTTTATTTTTTATATATTAAAATTTTTTTTTTAATAAAGATGGGGTTTCACCATGTTGATCAGGCTGGTCTTGAACTCCCGACCTCAGGTGATCCTCCTGCCTTGGCCTCCAAAGTGCTTGGATTACAGGTGTAAGCCACCAAGCCTGGCCTGGCTCAAATAATTTTTCTAAAAGCCAAGCCTGAAAACAGGTTTCGGGGGTGCCTTGAAAATTAGCATACCTTTTGACAAAAAAAAACACACATTGATCTTTTTAATGGAAAGCATTGGTTTTGCTGAAGAAAATCCCGCTTGTGGCTTAAATCATTACTTTTGTCTCTGTGCTATCCTACTTTATAAAGAGAAAGACTAAAGAAGAGTGAATAAGGAAGCACACGGATAAATTAACAGGACAGAATTGTGACTGGTATGTGTAAGTTAAGGGGATGTATGTATAGTTTTTTTTTTTGAGACAGAGTTTTGCTCTTTTGCTCTTTGTTGCCCAGGCTGGAGTTCAGTGGTGGTGATCTCGGCTCACTGCAACCTCCACTTCCCAGGTTCAAGCGATTCTCCTGCCTCAGCCTCCTGAGTAGCTGGGATTACAGGTGCCTGTCACCACGCCTGGCTAATTTTTGTATTTTTAGTAGAGACAGGGTTTCTCCATGTTGGCCAGGCTGGTCTTGAACTCCTGACCTCAGGTGATCCACCCGCCTTGGCCTCCCAAAGTGCTGGGATTACAGGCATGAGCCACTGTGCCCGGCTGTATGTATACATTTTATGTGAACATAAAAAGGACCTCTTGTTTTAAATACATCTCTTCATATGAATAATGTGGGCTTTCTTGAGTGGATAGTAGACTTCATTGCAAGGACAGTCCCCCAGAATCATGACAGAATGGGTAGTTGGCTTGTTTGCTAACTGAGAAGACTGTGTAAGTCGCTGAGGAGAAAGACGATGAAGGAGCAGATGGGTGAGGGTGAAAGGAAAGGTCTGAGAGGAATGTTTACCAAGGGCTCATCAGGTAGCAGTCTCTGTGTCTAAGGCCTTATACATCTCAAGTTTCTCTTTCACTGTCATTTTCTGATGCAGTCAGAGTCATCCTTGTGCTGCAGATGAGAAAATCCTGTGGGAGGTGAAGTGAGTGGTCCAGGGTCATCCAGCCATTCACAGCAGAGCTGGTGTGTTTCACCTCAAAGTTTGTGCTCTTGTCTGTGATTCAGACAAAAAAGTGAGACAAAGAAGGAAGGCAAAGCAAATTTTTGTTGTGGGTGCCTCACACAGGTACGTTTTGTCAACTTCACCCACAACAAAAACTTGCTTTGCCTTCCTTCTGGAATTACAGATGTGAGCCACCGCGTCCGGCCAGCATGAGGATTTTCCCTTGAAATTTACACTGAGTTGTCCACCTCCAGCTTACAGAGCTTCAGGAACAGAGCAGACCTTGTTCTTAGTGATTCCATGGGATAGAATGGGATTGGAGGATGTTGGAAACAGATATTTGGTGCTGCAGAGAAAAATCAGCACTGAGACGAAGGTTCTCTCAGCAAAGCAATCTTTACTTTCTGTAGGAAGGGTGCTCCCGTTAGCCATCTTGCTGGGAGAGTACAACGAACAAAGGAAAAGCTGACATATTTACCCTTTGCGTATTTGGGGTCATCTTTACTGCTGTGTCTGATCTCTGTTGGTGGGAGCCAGACCTCACATTCTAAACTAAATTCGATTAGCTCACAACTTAAAACTTTTCTAAACAGGCAAAAGTAATGGAGAACAAAAAGGAGGTCTAAATCAGGAAGGGGCATAGGCTGTGAGCTGGAACAGGCCTGTGAGCACGTCCAGCACAGATATCTTGGTTAAAGCACAAGGACATAGAATGTACTATGTGCCTATGAGCATGTCTAACAGCTACATACAATGGGGCTTAACAAAGAGTTATGAGCAAAAAGCAAAAACGCTTTTTTTTTTTTTTAAGGTGGGGTTTCACCGTGTTGGTCAGGCTGGTCTTGAACTCCCGACCTCAGGTGATCTGCCCGCCTTGGCCTCCAAAGTGCTCGGATTACAGGCGTGAGCCACCACCCCCGGCCTGGAAAAAGGCTTTGAAGAAAGTGTTTAAAACAAACTATTATTTCTAACACTTATGAGTCATTCTTTAACAAGGAAGGAAACTTTGAAGAGAAACTTTTTTTATTTCCCACAGAGGAGCTAGAAGAATTCAGGGTCCAGTCTACAGGTGAATAACGAAAACTAAAAAGCAATAAGCAGAGCTGTGATGTCGTAACAGGTGCACTATAGCTTTTTTCAGCATAATTTTTCTCTCCACAGGCCATCTGTTTCTACCAAAGATAAGCCCGGTAAGACATATTTGTTTTCCGAATAAGTGTAGTCTCACCAAACTTGGCCTCGTTCTTATTTAAGTGCATCGAGAGTAGCAGTTGACCACATAGAGTCTTTTTAAGTTTGCTTTTCTGGAAGTTTTTATAAGGAATCTCAGATTAAACTTGTAGAAACCTCTAGACATGAGGAAGCCAAGCCAACGCCGTCTTCAGACTTTGCTTCAGTGCCTATGGGTTCATCTATGTATATTCTCAAATATAACATCCCAGTCAAAGCCTGGGTAATATAATCAATATTTCAAATGTATCCTTGTTATGAAGGGAGCAGATTTGTATTGAGCAAATAACTATATTATTTTATTATATCATATTAATTAATGATTTTAATAACCATTAATGAAATTAATTAGAATATTAATAACAAATCATTGTTAAATAATTATTAGAATTATATTATAATTATTATTTATCACAAAGTTGCAAAAATAAATATTATATTCATAAGTAATTAAGTAATAATTATTTTATGATAATCAATATTAACAACTATATTTATTGTGGAAATAACTGTATTATTATAAAGATATAAATATTCATGAATAGTTTCCGAATTCTGGAGCAGTCAGGTAGGGAGAAAATGTAAATGTTTCCATTTTTGTTCACAAAAGTATACTTTACTAAATTACTGTAAACTCTAGATAGCTTAAAAGAAAAAATGTTTTTCCTGAAACCTGCGAAACAAAACACTTAAAGAATCCTCAATATTTCAAATAAAAAAATCTTAAAAATATTATTTTCATTATTATCATTGAGTTCCATGAAATTAATGATTTTCTCTGCTTGTTCTCGGTTGGCAGTTTCATGAAGCTATCAGTTTGTTAAAATTTTGGAAATTCTTAAATGGTCCAATTGTACGATTTTAATGCTATTAGAAAATTGTATTCAAGAGTACTTGTCAGAGTCTTTTCTGTAAATATCCTCGATGAAGAAGCAGTTTTGGATGGTGGCTGATTGCAAATGCTTTAAGGAAGAATCAAACCAACTGTCTGTGGATGACAGAGAGATTGAAAATGAGTCTGGTCACAAACCCGCGTAGAGTTCATTATGACAAGAATGCAACTCACATAGATATTTAGCTCCTTCTGTGGCACATGGTATTATTATGGCTGACAGCCTGTTAGATTTCTGGGAATCTCACGTAATTTTTGGAACACTCATGTCAGTAACATACCCATAAATGTAACTTAGAGAAGGTTCAGCATCACTTAGCATTTGACAATGCTTCCCATATAATTTAACATGTCAGATAAGATGTCTTTTCCATTCGGTGTCTGTTTCTCAATTAGATTACTGAGTTCTTGGTGGAGCTCATTAATGAATAAGGCCAATGAAGTGTAGGACTACACATGTTGAAAAAGCTCCGGGCTGGGCGCGGTGGCTCATGCCTGTAATCCCAGCACTTTGGGAGGCCGAGATGGGTGGATCACGAGGTCGGGAGTTCAAGACTAGCCTGGCCAAGATGGAGAAACCCCATCTCTTAAAAAAAAAAAAAAAGAAAGAAAAAAGAAAAAGCTCCAGAGGCAGTTCTAATACTCCTAGCTAAAAACCATGGGTTTAGCCCCCAGTCCTACCTATTAGAACAGGGGTTCTCCATCCTGGCTACACACTAGTAGCATCTGGAGAGGCCTAAAAATTACCAATGCCTGGATCCTCAGACCAGTGAAAGAATTTATGGTTGAGGCTTGAGCATCGGTTTTTTAAATGTTTCTGAGTGATTCCAATGTGTAGCTGTATTTCCCATCAGATTTCTCTGATTTCTTGTGGCACTCACTCCTTTCTAGTTGGGTATTATGATTATTTTTAGGTCTTATCTTCTGTTCTATGCTTTATGTTCTCTGGGGGTAGGGAATGTGCCTTCTTCATTTCCGTATCTGTTATGCACACATGAATCGATTGTCAGTAAAGGGTTCTCAGCACATGCAGGATGTGTCCTGAGTTCAGAGTTCACATGTTAATGCTACACAGTCTTTGTTCTCCATGGGATAAGAGGTTGCTTGTGATGAACGGTGTGGGGGAGTCCACAGTGCAGGTGGTGGAGGGGAGTTCACCCTGTTTTTAGGTGTAACATTGAAACTTCAGAATTCTATGTGCATCTGTTTTCATACTACTATAAAAAAAAAAAGGAAAAAAAGGAATTCTATGTGCATAGAGGGTAAAGGGGCAGGATGTGTAGAGTCAGGTCTAACTAAGATAAAGGAATTATACTGGGAAGTAGAGGTAAAGGAAGTAGAAAGGATTAGTAAAAAGAAGAAATTTGAACTTGTCTGATAGACCGCAGTAGCCCCTGTGGCTTCTTGAGTAGGCGAGTGAACTAGATTTTAGGAAGGTAATGAGGCAGCCATATGCAGGAAAGATTTCAGACACTGGCAATAAAGGGTCAAGCAGGACTTTGAGCCGTTGCTGAGGTTTATGGGAACGGAGAGAAGGACCCAAGTGAGAGATGTTACCAAAGGACCAAGAGGCATTGACGACGTACTGAATCTGGGAAACACATGAGCAGAGGCTGGGGATCATTATGTCTAAGAGACAGTGGGGTACAGGGAGCATGAAGAGTAGGGAAGAAGAGACCTGCAGGAATTCGTGTGAGAAGCAGGAGTTTAGGGGTAGAAGGAGGAGATCCAGTCCCAGATATAAGTAAAAAATTTTTCCCTCTCCCGAGCATGGTGGTCAGCCCTGCAGGAAATAGGACAAGTGGAAAGGCCACCATACCTGCCAGTCTTCCTGAAATACCGAAAATACACCAGGGCTGCTATATCAGAATCACGCTGGCCAGCACTCCAATCAGGATGCTGACAGTGGTCCCAGCTGAGACAACAGAACTACCTGGTACTGAAAAAAAAAAAAAAGAGAGAGAAGGAATGAAGGTGATGTTATTTTACAGTGGGGTGCCCCAAGAACCAGCTCTCAACATGAAGTAGTACTGACTTGTTTCTTCAAGGAATACACTAGTTTTGTGGGAAGGTTGCAATTTTTTTCTCTCTTACTAGGTTTCTAGGTTGGTGATCAGTCTTCTGTCAATTTCATCCTGGTCTTTCTGCACTCAGATATTTCTGAAGGCTTTGAAATTTGAGAAAGACGGGTTGCTATTTTTGCGTTTCATTAGAACTTTCTATCTTGTCATAGTTGCATCTTTTTCTGTGTCTCAATTGTGGTAGCCCTGAATAAGAGCCTGTTGGCTCTCTATGGCAGGGACTTGATTGACAGAAGGCCCAGGCTAGTGCATTCTGAATTTACCATGTTCTTTGCACAGAGAACTCACTTCTCATGGGCTCCTACCAGGGGAATGAAAGCAAGCCCAGCTCTGTGAGACCCCGCTTCACTCTCATGGGTGAGGGGTTCAAGGACTCCCCATCAGTCTTGTGGAAACTGAGAATGGCACTGCTATCTAAGAGTTCCCTCCTTCTCTTTCTCCTTCTCAGGAATCAGATCTGCACCACAGTCTGAGGGTTCTCTCAGGCTCCTCTCACTGCTACTCCACCTTCTTTCACGACGGTATCCCCAGTGAATTGTCTTGCACCTCTAATCCCGTCTTGGCTGCATCTCAGTGGATGAAAGCTAACATACCAGGCTTGATGCTTTGCACTTCGTTTCCTCTCTCCCATGTTTAGCTATGGTAGGTTTCCATTTGGTGCTTATTCCTCCCCAGTCAACTCAGGCTGATGATTAGCGCTATGTTAGCTACTGTTGAGGGGCACCTCCTATGGGCCAGGCCCTGTGCTGAATACTTTACTTGTGTCTCACTTGATTTATACAAGAACCCTCTTGGGTAGACATAATTTCCATTTTGCAGATGAAAAGACAGAGGCTTAGAGTGTTGAGAAAACTTATCCAAAGTCATATGGTTAGTGACAGGTAGATTTGGGATTTGGCTGTAGAACTACCTGACTTCAAGGGTAATGGTAATGGTATTTATAATAATAGCTAATATGTATGAAGCTTTTCTTTGTGTGTGGCACTTTGCTGAAGTCTTAATCAAATATTACATGAAATCTTGAAAACAATACTATGAAACAGGCGCTGTTATTGCAATTTTCATTTTTTCCATCCATTTCCTAGTGATGAGAATTATTGCAATTTTCAGTTGAAGAACTGAAGGTTCAGAGAAGTTAAAAATCTTGTATAAGAAATTGATAGTGGTAAATACATTAAAATAAAGAGAGACCTCAAATCAACAACCTAACTTTGCAGATTCAGGATATAGAAAAAGAACAAACTCGGGTCGGGCACGGTGGCTCACGCCTGTAATCCCAGCACTTTGGGAGGCCGAGGCAGGTGGATCACGAGGTCAAGAGATCGAGACCATCCTGGTCAACATTGTGAAACCCCGTCACTACTAAAATTACAAAAAATTAGCTGGGCACAGTGGCACGTGCCTGTAATCCCAGCTACTCAGGAGGCTGAGGCAGAAGAATTGCCTGAACCCAGGAGGCAGAGGTTGCAGTGAGCTGAGATCACACCATTGCACCCAGCCTGGGTAACAAGAGCGAATCTTCGTCTCAAAAAAAAAAAGAAAAAAAACAAACTCAACCCAAAGACAGTGAATGAAGGAAACAATAACTGGAGTAGAAATAAATAAAATGGAAGCTAGAAAAACAATAAAGGGAATCAAGGAAACCAAGAGTTGGTTCTTCAGAACAGATCAATGAAATTGACATTTACTAGATTGACTACGAGAAAAAAGAGAGAAGATTCAAATTACTAAAATCATAAATGGAAATGGGGGCAGGTGGCTCACACCTTTAATTCCAGCACCCTTGTAGGTCAACGCAAGAGGATTGCTCAAGGTCAGAAGGTCAAGACCAGCCTATGCAACTTAGGGAGATACAGTCTTTACAATTTTTTTTTTTTTTAACTAGCCAGGCATGTTGGCACATGCCTATAGTTCCAGCTCCTCAGGAGGCTGAGGTAGGAGGATCACTTGACCCCAGGGGGTTGAGCCTGCAGGTAAGCTGTGATCAAACCACTGCCCTCCAGCCTGGGTTGAGCTACATAGTGAGATCTACTCTCAAAAAAAGCAAAACAAAATGAGAGAGAGAGAAAATCATAACATTGCTACCAATTCTACAGAAATAATAATGATTACAAGAGTGTGATGAATAATTGATTGGCTAAATATTGTTATGAGGGAATCCGGGGGGGATCACTCCCATGTGAAGCCCCTAGGAAATGAGCCTCGCCGTACAGTGAGCTTGAGCCTGGACACAGATCCCTGGTTGGGGGAGTCGAGCTGAGGGAAAGCAGGAACCGAGAGAAGAACTATATGTTATTCAAAATAATTAACAGACATTACTTTATGGATATGAGGACTTGCAAGGCATTGTGACCACTTTCGGCTCCTTATGGTTTATTGCTTGATTGTGTTCATTTTGGACCCTTGTTACCTTCATTGTAAAATATTAACTTAAGTATTTACACTTGGTAAGTTACTTACTGTAACTTACTGGGTGTAACTGTAACTGACTTACCATAGCTTACAGGGCGTGACTGTAACTTACTTACCTTGACCTATTGGGCATAACCTACTTACTGGAAGTAACCTACTTACTGGGCGTAACCTACTTACTGGACTTAACTTACTTACTGGATGTAACTTAGTGGGCATAACTTGCTTACTGTAACTTAAGTAGTTGATCTGGTGTAAACAACTTTGACTTCAGAAAAGTATATAATGAAACATATTGCAAAAATAAAATTGCTGCTTGGACATAGCCTAAGCCGGCCCTCCAGACTCCGCTTTTCTATTTCCTTTCACTTCTGCACCCTCCCTCAGGTTGAACGAGACATCTACGTTGGCGGTCTCGGGGACTCCTGCAGGTCGGTAGTCCCCCAGCAGACGTGCCAGACCCCAACATTGTTACTACTTATAGGTCTATTCAGATTTTTTTTTTTTTTTGAGATGGAGTTTTGCTCGTTACCCAGGCTGGAGTGCAATGGTGCGATCTCGGCTCACCGCAACCTCCGCCTCCTGGGTTCAAGCAATTCTCCTGCCTCAGCCTCCCAAGTAGCTGGGACTACAGGCACATGCCACCATGCCCAGCCAATTTTTGTATTTTTAGTAGAGACGGGGTTTCACCATATTGACCAGGATGGTCTCGATCTCTTGACCTCATGATCCACCCACCTTGGCCTCCCAAAGTGCTGGGATTATAGGTTTGAGCCACCGCGCCCGGCCGGTCTATTCAGATTTTTTGTGTGTTCCCAGGAATTTGTCCATTTCATCTAGGTTATCCAATTTGTTGCATACTCATGCATACTCACAGGGACTCTGCATGGAAGGGCATGGGCATTGCCAAACAGTGTAGCCCATCCCAGGCTGGAGTGCGGTGCTTTGATCAGAGCTTACCTGCAGGCTCAACCGCCTGGGCTCAAATGATCCTCCTGGCTCTGGCCAGGAGTTTGATGGGAACAGAGTTTCATTTTGGGAGGAAGAAAAGAGTTCCGTGGGTGGACGGTGGTGATGGTAGCCAGAGGTAATGTGTTTAATACCACGGACCTGCACTCATGGAAAGGTTAAAATGGTAAGTCCTATTTAGATATAAAGTGGCTGGTAGTCTTACCCTCTCTATAAATGCACACTTTTTGACACTGCCTATTCCCTTCCATGCAGAGTCCCTGTGAGTGAATCTCCCAATTTCTCCAACTGTGCATCGCTCACTGTCCTCTGTGCTGTGTCCCATGTGCTGTGCCCACAGCCTCATACAGCTGGTGACTTCAGAGCCAGGACAAGCTCAGGAGTCTGCCCTGAGGCTCCGCTTCCGTTTTCCTGCAGCCTGAGCCGGGGGAGGCTTTGGTGTTGATTTTGCCTGATTCAGGACAGACCCCCTGGGCACCTTCTCCATATGCCCTGTCCCACCTTAGGTGGCTTCAAGGCAGGGTCAGTCACTGGGAGAGCTGGGAGCAGAGATGGGGGCAGAGTCTGGGCTGCTCTTCCATCACCCAAGGGGCTTCCTCCTCTTTTAAGGAAAAAGTGTGAGCTCATTTCAAAGCCTCCTGTCCCTTGTAGCTTATGAAGTAGGTAAAAGAACACAAAGAGGTGACAGAAAGGGAATTGTTGGTGACAGAGAGAAGCAACTTGCCCCCGAGGACCCTTCCTCCTTCTTCCTCTGTGAAGCCCCTTTTACTACGCAGCGCTCAGGGCTGAGGGAACCCTCTCCTCGCATTTCAGGATGGCCCAAAGTCAGACATGAGAAATCAAAAAAATAAGGGGAAGAGAGTCTGTAGAGGTGAACTGGGAGTGTTTGGGGGGAGAATTTGGGATTTGCTTGTGCCCCTTAAATACAGATTGGGAAAGAAAATTTCTTCCTGGCTCTTCTCTGAAAACCAGACTCCACCTGAAAACGTGATGCCAAAGCTTCATGGATCCACTTACCAGAGACTGTGATGATCCTGCCTGTGGTGCTGTTGCGGCCAGTGACGAAGTTGTGGGCATGGCACATATAGGATCCGCTGTGATCCACAGTGACGCTGGGGATAAAGAGCGCTTGTGTGGATTGCTGGAACGTCCCATTGATAAACCAAGAGTACTGTGCAGCTGGGTTAGAGGCTGCGTGGCAGGAGAGGTTCAGATTTTCCCCTGGACGGTAATTGGAGTTTGAGGGGGAAATGGTGGGGCCATCTGGGCCATCTGGAGGAAAGAGAATAAAGCCACAGGTGATGTCATCAGAGGGAAGCAGACGTTCCTGGTCTGTGGAAGGGCCACAGTGTCCCCCTGAGTCATATCACAACCCTGAAGTCTCAACCAAATCCCCGCTAGTCCCCTTAGCCAAAGTCTGAGACATCCACCTGTTTGTCCCGTTAGAAAATGTGAACTCTGAGCCTCCCAGGACAGGAGCAGCCCCTCCCCTTCTATTATTGGTCAAGGCTTGGTCTGCTCAGGTTTGCCTGGGCAGGAAGTCATGGCCAGCCGGGGTGAGGATCTGAGAGGGACTGAGAGGCCTGGCCTCTGGCCATGTGGATTTGAGTTGGCAGCCTGGGTCACAGAGGAATAGAAGGTACTCACATTGGACATCCAGGGTGACTGGGTCACTGCGGATTGCACTCACTAGGTTCTGTATTTCACACTCATATGTTTCTGTGTCATTCCTTGTGACGCTGAGTAGAGTGAGGGTCCTGTTGTCACTGGACAGCTGCAGCCTGGGACTCACGGGGAGGCTCTGATTGTTCACCCACCACAGGTAGGTGGATTCCTGAGTCTCAGGTTCACAGGTTAAGGCCACAGCATCCTCATCCTCCACGGGGTTGGAGTTGTTGCTGGTGATGAATGGCTTGGGCAGCTCCGCTGTGCAGAAAACAGAGAGAAGATTGCCCTGTGTGGCACCTGTGATTCCTCCACGGGCATCTTTCTTTTTTTTTTTTTTTGAGACAGAGTTTCGCTCTTGTTACCCAGGCTGGAGTGCAATGGCGCGATCTCGGCTCACCGCAACCTCCGCCTCCTGAGTTCAGGCAATTCTCCTGCCTCAGCCTCCCAAGTAGCTGGGATGACAGACACTCGCCACCATGCCCAGCTAATTTTTTGTATTTTTAGTAGAGACAGGGTTTTACCATGTTGACCAGGATGGTCTCCATCTCTTGACCTCGTGATCCACCTGCCTCAGCCTCCCAAAGGGCTGGGATTACAGGCTTGAGCCACCACGCCCGGCTTGCATCTTTCAATCAGAATTGACATCTCCCACTTCTCAGCCCACTTGAGTCCTTAAAAACCTAGGCAGGTGTATGTGTCACAAGACAGATGCACGAGGATCTGAGGCTCGGATTGTGTGAGACCACCTGCCCTCTGTGGGAGAAGCACAGACTTTCTCAAGTGTGAACTGAGCAGCAGCATTGGGTCATGGACAGACACAGGACCGGGGGTCACAGCCCCTGGTGCTTCTCCTGGTTACTCCCTGACCAGCTGACTGCCTGGCTTCCCTTGGACTCCTCACCCGAAACATTCAGGTGCTGGGTCTTTTCAAGCTTCAGTCCTACTTTGCACCCCCTAGCGGTGTTTTCTGTGTGGCTTCCTTTTCCAAGAACGTTCTAGTGATGGGTGATGATGGGACTTCTTATTGTCCTTAAAGCCCGAGGGAAAAACTGTGCAGCCTCCTGGGACTAGTTGTTTCAGCAGAAATAGCACAGGGGACACCAGGGGCCAGCCTGGAGGTCAGTTCAGTCATCAGGCAGTGGAACCACAAGTTTTTCCCAGGTATTTAATAATGACTGACTTGAGCCAGTGACCCCTAAAGATAGAGCAGAATTCAAAGAATGATCTAGAAGAGAGTGAGGGGGACAGGCAGGAGCTGCCTGGATTTAACAGCAGAGCCGTGTCCCTTGTCTTTGGCCTTTCATGTTTCTTCTCCTTCTGCAGAGGGCAGGTGAGGATGCTGTGGATCTTTCTAGAAATACATGTGGACGTTTGCAAATGCAGAACTGAGTGGTGGAAAGAGGGAGCATGAACTGCTGGAAATCTGACTCTCAAAGATCCTGTGTGTTTGGCAGGTATGAGACAGAAGTTTGGGAAGAAGTTTTGCAAATATCATCTCCCATTGGACATTATGCCAAATGAAATAAGTCACTCACAGGACAGATACTGCAGGATTCCACTTATGTGAGGTCCCTAGAGTAATCACACTCATGGAATCAGAGCAGAATGGTGGCGGCCAGGGGTTGGGAGAGGCAGAATGGGGAGATGGTCAATAGTCGTGCACTTTCAGTTATGTAGGATGAGGAGGTTTAGAGATTTGCTGTTCAGCTTGGTGCTATAGTTCATACAGACTGAGTATCACTTATGCATAAGGCTTGGTGAGGGAAGAGACTCCTTTTTCCTGTCTCGTCTCAATGGAGGAGGAAGTAAAAGTTGAGACATAGCAGGCATGAGGTCAGTAGCAAAGTCTGGAGGTTAAGGATTAACCCCCTCACCCTTAGCCACACTCCTATCTATAGATCGCAGGTGTAATATGAAGAAGCACCCTCATCCTAGCACTTGGGGAGGCCAAAGTGGGTGGATCATGGGGTCAAGAGATCGAGACCATCCTGGCCAACATGGTGAAACACCGTCTCCACTAAAAATATGAAAATTAGCTGGGTATGGTGGAGCATGCTTGTAGTCCCAGCTACTTGGGAGGCTGTGGCAGGAGAATTGCTTGAACCCAGGAGGCGGAGGTTGCAGTGAGCCGAGATCGTGCCATTGCACTCCAGTCTGGGTAATAACAGCGAATCTCCGTCTCAAAAAAAGAGAGAAAAAAAAAGAAATTAGCAACTCCCTGAGTAGGGAGAGGCCTATGAGTCCTTTTAGGGGAGTAGAACCAACCAGAGAGGAAGTCTTACGTGTGTCAATTGCATAAACGGAGGAATGATGCCAGATTAGCAGCAGCAGTGTGTGTTATGTTAGCAAATTTAGAAAGCGCTCCCTGCCCCTAATTCCTGTGCAGAGTTAGGCAAATAGGGGAGGAGCCCAAAACAAGCAGGTGAAATGCTCTCGTCCTCTCCTCTCAACCTCAGAAAACACAACTAGAGTTTAAGCTTATCTGACCTGGTCAGTGTCTGTGTGAGATTCCAGTGACTGGTGCACTTCTCAGTCTAGTGAACCCCACCTTATGGCAATGGCATCATTGTGAGGATGCAGGTGTATGTGGCATGGGCAGGAAACTCATCAGACATCACCTGCCTGGCCAGCTCCAGCTGGGGAAGGTCCCGGGAATGACTGGAGAATGTGAGACTCACACCAAGATGAGGACGGGAGTCAAATAGGTGAAATGAGCCCATGGGCTTTGGGAACTGCAGACCTGTCCTTCTGCCTCTGACCCCCTGGTGAGTCAGTGTAAAGAGTGGAGGGAGGAATCGATCGTCACTGTCCCATGGCCTGTTCCACATGTTGGCCTCACTGGGGGAAAGAGCCCTGGGCAGGGACACAATGAAAGCTCATTCTCCTGGTGACCTGGCACATTGGCTTATGATGGAGCCTGGCAGGGGCAGCTGCTAAGGCTGATTTCTGTGCCTTCCCTATTGCCTGGGAGGTGGATCAGGACACAGTGTGGGTGGGAAGGGGACAGGACAGCCAGCCTTGTTAGAGGGATTTTCTGGGGAAGGCCTAAGGGTGGGAGGAAGCTGTGCAGGGCAGGGCATCCCAGCTAGAATGAAGGGGGAGGAAGAGGAGGGACACGGAGAAGCAGAGAGAGCTAGAGATATTTACAGCAGTAAGCGGTGGGAGCTACAGTGACCTTAGAGACCCCATGGACCAGGAGCCCCTTCGCTGCCTTAGACCAGGCACAGGGAGACCTGAAAACCCTCTGATGACTAAGGAACCCCAGAGTCACATGAGATGGGGTAGCTTTAGGGACAGGGGTTCAGAGGGATGGAACATGGATCTTAGTCCCTGAGGGACAAGAAACAGGTGTGGCCAGTTAGGTTCGGTGGCTCACACCTGTAATCCCAGTACTTTGGGAGGCCGAGGTGGGAGGATCACCTGTCAGGCGTTCGAGACCAGCTAGGCCAACATGGGGAAACCCCATCTCTACTAAAATACAAAAATTAGCTGTGTGTGGGGGACATGCACCTGTAATCCCAGCTACTCAGAGGCTGAGGCAGGATCGCTTGAGCTGGAAGGTGGAGGTTGCAGTGAGCCGAGATTGCACCACTGCATTCCAGCCTGGGCAACAGAGTGTGACTCTGTCTCCAAAAACAAAACAAAACAAACACACAAACAAAAAAAACAGGTGCAGCCAGAACCTCCTAGGATTCTGCATCCAGGAACTGGTCTCTAAGAGGTTATGGATCCTTCATTCATTCCTTCTTCCTTTCTTCCCTTCCTCATGAGAGAAGTCCTGAGTGAGCGTGTGTCTCCCTTTGGGTCTCTGCTGGTGCAGGGTGTGAAAAGGGAAAGAAGGCAAAGTCCTCTCCTTTTTCCTTCCATGGGAGTGACACTGACACATCAGGAAACAGGATTTCAGGTGCAGTGAGGGGGTTGTGGATCGAGGGGAGAGGCCTGGACAATCTCAGCACTGACTCTGTTGTTTGAGGCAGGTGATTTAGTTCTAGAGTAAACTGACTAATTCTCTATTTACTTCTCACTCTGCAGACCAGAATCTCCCTCTCTGAGCTGTGGATGTCCAAGACGAAAGGAAGCAAACCCACGACGGGTCTCGGTCTGCAGATGCCTAATAACAAACAGCCCCCCACCCCCGGGGGAGGAGAGGAGCTCTGGCTGCAGACAGACCTCACTTGTCTCTAATCTGCCACCTATGGCCTGTGGACCCTTGTTAGTGACTGTCTCCCTGCCCCTCAATTTCCTTTCAGTAAGTAGGATAAGTGCTATTTGGCTGTGAGGTTGTTGGTGAATTAACCTCAAAATATTTATAATTACTTGATCTCAGCTCTGCACAGAGGAGTTGTCCAAGTGAAGAGCATCTATGATTATTTGCCTTTAAGAGAGAGGGCCCTGGGCCTGATCCCTGGTGGACAAGGGGCTGCCGGGAGCATCCTCTCTTCTCTGTTCCTCCTCCTGGGGACTCTGAACTTCCCAGGGAGTCACCTGTGTCCCCCAGGGCAGTGGGCTCACTCCCTAGTAACCTTGTCTGTCTGACCTTTCCACATTGAGCCTCAAGTGACAGAAGAGGTCCTGTCCTTGACTGGACGAGGCTGTGGGTGCTGGGCCCCGGCTGGTGACCAACTCCAGGAGTCATTTCCCTTGGACAGTCACTTCCTTGCTCCCAGTCAGCCCTGCCCAGGAGGCCACCACACAGCCCTGACACGGGCTCCCCAGAATCACCTGGAATCAGGAACTAGGGACAAGGCTTTGCACAGGGGCTCGGCTCTAGGAAGAGTAGAACTTCTCAGTGAGGATCCCAGGGGGCCCTCAGGCCAGCCCTGACCCGGTTCTCCAGGGTCTTCTCAGGGTCAGGTCCATGGGGAGACCATGGGGTGCTTGGCTGAGACAGACCTCCCCCTGCTGAGTCCCCCATCAGACTGTCCTTCCTCTGCTGCGAGTGTCTGCAGGATCTGGATGCAGGAAGGGGATTCTGATCTGTTGAAGTTCATCTCCCCTGTGTGTGTCCTGCACTAAATGCCCAAACCCTAACACGGGATATAATGCAGAGGACACAGGGGGACACAGGCACAGCCCAGCCCTGACAATCCCGTGTGTGGGGAGCACAACTGACCGCAACACCCGGAGGTCATGGGGAAATACTCACGGTATACACGGAACTGGACAGTTGCTTCTTCACTCGTAAGATCTGCCTTTATGACTTGCAGGGTGTAGAATCCTGTGTCATTCAGGGTGACATTCTGGATCAGCAGGGAGGCATTGGGGTATATTGTCTCTCGGCCGCTGTATGTGGGCCCTGGGGTGGTTAGTTGACTTGCTATTACATATCCTATAATTCGAACGGTGCCGTCCACTCTTTCCCCTTTGTACCAGTTGAAGCCATCCGTATTCTGGGGCACATTGTAGGTGAGTAGAAGAACCTCTTTCCCCTCTGCAGCATTGGATGGCATGGATTCAGTAGTGAGCTGGGCACTGGTAGGCAGGTTCCAGAAGGTTAGAAGTGAGGCTAGGAGACAGGAGAGAGCATCAGTCAATATTAGGATCTGTGCATTGGGATGGAAGGATGGGGCCCTGGGTCCTGAGCAGGTCTCTTCACACCTCCACCTTGGGGGCTGTGTGTGTATGTGTGTGTGTGTGTGTCCCACTGGCTCAAAGTCAGCAGTGTCACCTCCATTCCTTCAGCGCCTCTGGCCCTGGCATTTCCCTGTGTGGAATCCTCTTCCCCAGGGGTGAGTCCCATTCCTTTAGTGCCTCTGACCTTATCATTTCTCTGGAATGCTCTTCTCCCAGGGTCTGCACGGCTCCCTCCCCACCGCCCTCAGATCCTGCTCACATCAGGGCATCTTAGGGAGACCCCTCCCCTGACACCTCCTCTGGAGACCCTCGGTCTTCCTTCTCTGACCTTTCCCTGCTCTGTTCCCTCCAGGGCTCTTGTCAACACCTGACCTCCCCTTCTAGATCTCTTTGCCTGTGTGTTTTCCTCTTCATGACAGCATGAGCTCCATGAGGGCAGAGACTGGCCTGGTGCTTGCTGTATGTCACTGACTAAAACTGACTGCAAATACTGGTGAACAAGTTCATGAGTGTACCTGGTGGTTATTTTTCAACTTTGGATTGGTGGGTAAGGGCATCGTTTAGTGCCCTGGTTCGATTTTTATTTGGATTGTCGCTCTGATGTAGTTCTTATTCCTATCATTTTTCAGATTGTAGTGACCAATGATGATTAACTTGAAAAACATTTTGAATTGACTTTCCTCCTATTTTTTCAATCCCAGTTCAATGTGACTTTCCTGTTGTGACCCCTGTCTCTTTCTGGTGTTCTGTCTGCTCTGTCCCCTCCCAGAGCCCTGTCCTCCCCAGGAGACCCCAGCCAGTCTCGGTGCTCCCTCCTCCTCCTCCTCCTCCGCTCACCTGTGAGAAGGAGTTCCTTCCAGGGGACATGCACTCTGCAGGGAGAGGCTGAGAGGGGTCCCATGGTCTCTGCTGTCTGCTCTGTCCTCCTCTGTGTAGGGGAGCTTGTGCTCCAGGAACGCTCTAGTCAGGGCTGCTGTGACTGTCGGCTCTGCTGTCCTTCCTCCTCTGTGCTGAGCCTCCTCCAGGGACTGGAGCAGTTTCCAGGGTCACGTGGATCATGGGTGTGGTCTCTGCTCAGGAGTCCTCTGTCCCCTCCCCTCTCATTTCTGCCTCTTTTGTCCCTCCTCCTCTTCCCCTTCTGTCTGTATTCAGCTCCCCAGAAGAGGCTCTGAGAAGCAAGGCTTATTTGGACCCCTGTCCCATAACAGGACCACCCACCTTCGCCAGTGCTGACCTCTGCTGTGTCTGGTCTTGGGTCTGTCAGCACCAGGAAGAGTCCCTGTTATCCTCAAACCTGGTGTCATTTTCTCTGGGACAGAGAAACCCCTCTATGTGTCCAGGATGTTCCCAGTGTTCTCACAAAGGTTGGATTTCCTCCCAGAAAGGAGGTCAGAGAGATGTTTGGGGTCCTAGAAATGGACACATTTTCCAAGAATCTTTTTTTATTTTTTTGAGACGGAGTTTCGCTCTTGTTACCCAGGCTGGAGTGCAATGGCGCGATCTCGGCTCACCGCAACCTCCGCCTCCTGGGTTCAGGCAATTCTCCTGCCTCAGCCTCCCGAGTAGCTGGGATTACAGGCGTGCACCACCATGCCCAGCTAATTTTTTTGTATTTTTAGTAGAGACGGGGTTTCACCATGTTGACCAGGTTGGTCTCGATCTCTCGACCTCGTGATCCACCCGCCTTGGCCTCCCTAAGTGCTGGGATTACAGGCGTGAGCCACCGCGCCCGGCCTTTCCAAGAGTCTTACTTCTTCATTCTGCAGTGCTATGTGACCCTAATTTCCTGGGAGCAGTTGAGAATGAAGCTGCATGGTGCTGTGGTATGATGTCATCCAGACCTCAGACCGACGTTATGACTTTCTCTATAGCTTGTACCACCTTTATACTTTTTTTAACTAATTAAATTTAGTTTACAAAACACCCTTGTCTTAGCAGGGCTCAGTGGCTCACACCTGTGATTCCAGCTTCTCAAGAGGCTGAGGAGAGGATTGCTCGAGGCCAGGAGTTGAACACAAAACATTTTCATCTTAGGCAATATTGTTCGTGAAATTACAGATTTGATGTGTGCCTGTTTTTTCCTATCACGCATTAAAATAAACACAGTTAAACAAAATGTATTTACGTTTCACCTAAAATCAGGTTTGGGAAACGCTGATATAGTGGCATAAGCATGGATTCATATTCAGATAGATCTGGGGCCAGCTACTGGCTCTGTCACTTAACTGTGTTGACTTAGACAGGTCACTTGGCTTCTCTGAGCGTTGGATCCCTGATTTGTAAAATGAGAACGGTAAAATCCGCCTTGCAGACTTGTCAGGAATGAGTGAGCTGCTGTGGGAGCCCAGTGCAAGTGGGTGTTGAGTATATCATAGTTATTGCTATAGAATTCTGGTTCTTTTCCAGAGAGAGTGTCTATGCTGGAATATTGGGCTTGTGGCTTTCCGCTAACATGCTGACGTAGGAGAATCGCTTTAACCCAGGAGGCGGAGGTTGCAGTGAGCTGAGATCGTGTTACTGCACTCTAGCCTGGCGACAGAATGAGACTCCATTTAAAAAAAAAAAAATGTTAATTTCGTTTGTTAGGATTTGTGGTGCATCTGTCATTGTTTTCATTTCCCAGTTTCATTACCTATTTCCTCTGTGATGTTGGTCGAGTTACCTAAGTTTTCTCCTGCCTCATTTACCTAATTTGTGAAATGTAACAATACACTGGTGTGCGTGTGTGTTACTTCTCAGCTCCGGCCACTAGATAGCATAGAAGCATTGGCACCTACTAGCAATGGGATATGGTCTGCAAACACCATTTTCCCATGAAAGGAACCAGGGCTCCCTGGAGAAACAGCTGATCCAGAGCTGGGTCAGGAAAGCCCAAGAGGAGCCTGGAGCATCTTGTGGGGCCGGAAGTAAGGAACTGCTTGAAAAATGATGGAGTTGTGTCAAAAGGCACAGAAACCAACTAGAAGGAGCTCACAATGGCCGATTTTTGGACAATATCAGCGACATAATAAATAATGCTAGCTACCGGGGGCGTTGGTTTATGCTTTGGCACTTTGGCGGGCCGGGGTGGGAGGATCACTTGAGATCAGGAGTTGGAGACCAGCCTGGCCAACACGGCGAAACCACGTCTCTACTAAAAACAAAAATTAGCTGGGCTTGTTGGTGGGGACCAACAGTCCCAGCTACTCGGGAGGCTGAGGCGGGAGAATTGCTTGAACCCAGGAGGCGGAGGTTGCAGTGAGCCGAGATCACATCACTGCACTCTAGCTTAGGCAACAGAGCAAGACTCCATCTCAAAAAAAAGTGGGGGGGCATATAAAATAAGATTAGATTTTATTCTGAGAATTATTTTGGGAATGGAGGAGCTATTATTTCCTCCAGCCACTAAGTAGCTCAGACTCAGGCCCCCACTGCAAACTTTGTTTGGCTGGGAAACAAGGCTCGAGACCGGCGCCACCCACCCCACGTGGTTTGTGTGGCGCCCCCTGGCGGCACAGCGAGCTTTCCTCAGTTCCTCGCTCTGGTGCTTCGGGAGCAACTTTAGAAATTCCACTCAGTCCATGTATTAAACACTTTCTAGGTCACACTGCAGACCATCTAATCTTTACAATAAGTGTGTGTGAGAAGTGGTATTTATTCATCTTAAGATGATAAAACAGGCTAAAAAAAGTGAAGCAACTTGTCCATGGTTGCAAAGGGAGTGGCAGAGCCAGGATTTGGTTCTAGGTCCCTCTGATGTCCTGGGCTGAGGGTAAATGCCCAGGTGAGTCTAAATGCATGGCCGGGTGGAAAACTATTGGTGTAGAGCAGTAGTTGTCGCCTGAAGGTGGTTTCCCCCAAGGAGACATTTGACAATGTCTAGAAATATTTTTTGCTTTTATGAAGGAAGAGGGTGTATGGGAGAGAGGCTGCTCTTGGCATCGAATGGAGAGAGGCCACACAGATGCTGCTGAACGTCTCACAATGCACAGAACAGCCCCCACCACAAGGAACTGTTCAGCCCAAATGCCAGTAGAGCTGCTAGGAAGCCCTGGTCTGACTTAGAAACCTGAGGATGCATCTTGCACTTAGCTAATGTTTGCTGAGTGCCGAACTGGACCTCATGAGGGATATGGAAACAGGGCACCAGTGTGTGCCGCCAAGGAGGCTGCAGCCTAGAAGGGCAAGGGGTGGAGGCAGGAGTGGCAAATGAAGGCCTTCCATATAAGGCAGCAGATGATCAGTGCAAGAAGAGAGCATCCGGTAGGGCTGAGCCAACTCCCAAGAGAAAGAGCACTTGTCTGGGTGTGGGGGGAGCTGAGCGTTTGTCTGGCCTGTGGGAATGTGGTTTTGAGCTTGGTGTGTGAGTAAAGTTGAACTGGTGGGGAAACACAAGCCCTGTTTAGGGAAGGGCAAAGAGTCTAGTTTGGGTGGAGAGAGAGTAATTTTTAGTGAGCGGAGGGGTTGCACTGGAAAAGGAGGTTGGGGCTAGAGCTTTGAGTCCAGGCTGAGGACTCTAGCCTGGGTGTCTGTCACAGTGACGGAAAAACCTTCCCGTCGCCGAGTGCGGTGGCTCACGCCTGCAATCCCAACACTTTGGGAGGCCGAGGTGGGTGGATTACGAGGTCAAGAGATAGAGACCATCCTGGCCAACATGGTGAAACTGTGTCTCTACTGAAAAAAAAAAAAAAAATAGCTAGACATGATGGTGCGTGCCTGGAGTCCCAGCTACTTGGGAGGCTGAAGCAGGAGCATTGTTTGAACCCGGGAGGTGGAGATTGCAGTGAGCCGAGCTCGCGCCACTGCACTGCAGCCTGGCGCCTGGCAACAGAGCGAGACTCTGTCTCAAAAAAAAAAAAAAAAAGAACATAAGAAGGTGACTGATAACTTGGCAGCTGTGCCCGTTCTCTCCTGTACTCCTTCCCGCCTCCCACACCCCAGTGCCTCATGATTTCTTCCTCAAGTCTTTTTTTCTCACTTGGATTTCCTTATACCTTTCAATGACCCTCTCTATGTGAGTATTTGGCAGGAAAGCGGGTGCTAAGTGTTGCTAGAAGAGATGTTGACAAGGTCTGTTTCCCCTCTGTGCTCCCGTTCCCATCCTTGACAGAATACCGGGAATAGTAGTGTTGCTGCCCGGGAAGTTGCCCTGTCCTCGCTCTGTTCACATTCCCTCCAATTCTGTAGCCACGTAAGGTGGGAGCAGAGCAGGATCTGGGGCAAGAGGCCGCTCCCCCTGCCCAGAACATCGCCACTGAAGCAGTGGGTAACACCAGGCCTCCTTGTGTGTCTATCGGGAAGGTGGCCATGGCTTTGTTGTTCCAGTGTAAAAAAGAGGGAACTGGGTTGGGGGAAGACCCCAGAGCTGCAGGTCCCAGAGGGTTTGCGAAACAGGAGCCACAGGAGGGAAGGAGCCCTGGAATTGTGTTTGCCCAGCTGCTGGGGCGCCTGGCTCCAGCCCTTGTTTGGAAATGGCCCCAGGCAAAAGAAGAAAGGTAATAATACTTGAAGTAAACATTAAGGGTCATGGAATATCAGGACTTACTAAACGTGACATTTATTTGGGACTTTAGGAAATATGCTCAAAGGAAGAGGAGAGGCTGGGCTTGAATGCTGGGTGATGTTCATGGGGCTGAAGGAAGGTTAGCAAGGGAGCCCTCCTTGGAAGCCTCCAGGCAGGAGTGAGAGCAGGGGTGTGACTTTGTTTCCCTGAGAGGAGGGAAGAGGCCAGGCATGAGTCAAAGCCCTCTGAGTGTTGACCGTTCTTCTCTCTGTGTTTCAACTTAACCCGGCCTGTTGACTGACACAGCGTTAATTATAAACGTTGCTACTGCAGGGGCCGGGGGCTGTGCCAGGACTGAGCCTGTGTTCAAGTTGAAGATACAGGCTGGGCTTGCTCTGATGCAAATCACGGGTGTAGCTTCTTTCTGGAAAATTCTAAAAATGGTCTCTGCCTTTAGGAGGCTCAAGTCTAACCAGGGAGTTGACATCCAGTTCATAAAGCCTAGAAATAGGAGTGCAGTCATCTCTCAGTGGCAGGAGAGCAGG